AAGGGAAATAATAAAATAATAAAAATAAACCAATAAAATAATTCTCACGACGTTTCGGCCACAACGCAAGCAGCCGTCCTCAGGTGAAAAACAGGACTGTCGGGAAGACGTCTGAATCAGAAGAACAGGTCCCCACCCTCCCCTCCCCTCCCCACCCTGCCCCTCCCTGCCCCTCTCTGCACGACGAATGGACACAATAATTCCCTGTGGTTTGGTGTAACCAGGAGGTTCCTACCAGTACGAATTTGTTAATAATAAAACGGTTGTTTAAAAAAACGTTTTTTAAGGAGTTTATTTTGCTTTTGTTCGCAGTCCATGAGCCACTCCGTTGTTATCGAGGGTAGCAGTAAAGGTTCAGAGACTGTTCCTTATACTGGTAGGAACCTCCTGGTTACACCAGCCCACAGGGGATGATTGTGTCCGTCCGTCCGTCCGTCGTGCAGGGAGGGGCTGGGTGGGGAGGGTCCATACTCTTTGGGTTTTTCGGTAAAGTCAAGACCCAAACAATATGAATTCCTGCAGTCACGAAAGCCTTAAGTCAAGATGATGTGTGCACGTGTGTTGTGCGTGGAAAAGTCCCATCGGTGAGCTCCTCCGGCAGGCAAGGCTGCGTTAGGCTGGGCCATTTAGCCCGCATCCCCAGCCACCGCATGCCTAAACAGCTTTTGTTCGGCCGGATCGAGGGGGCTAAACGGGCGCGGCACGGGCTAGAGAAGAGATGGAGTGATGTGGTACAGGAGGACGTGGAGCTCAGTGGACTTGCCGATGACTGCTACCAGCGGTGTCAAGATCGGCCTCTGTGGAGGAGGCTCGTGAAGGACGCTGCTACTGGGTAGTTGGAGGCAGTCGGAGGAGCGACGCTCACAACAACGAGCGGAGCCGCCGGGTGGCTAAAGCACAGCAAGTTGGCACAGTAGGGGGCACAGGTGGTGCATCAGCCAGTCGTCTCGGTCATCTCAGTCAGTCGACCCGTGGCACCTAGGTCTGCCCCATGACCTCCTTCCAGCGGACGTTCGACACTTCACGTGGCCTCAAGGTGCACCTAGCCTGGCACAAGCGTCGTGGTGACGTCACCAAAGCTTTAAGTCAAGATGATGTGTGCGTGTGTGCGTGCGTAAGCATCGGCGTGCATAGCGTCTTGGAATGGATATTGTGCACGTGTTGACGTTGGGTCTCAAGCCGGTAAAGCGGGAGCGTCGAGTGGCTATAGTGAGGGGTGGGGGGGGGATGAGTCCAAGGGCTTCGCTTGGTGAACGCTGCCGCTCGCAAAGTGGCCACTTGACATTTGGAGAGGGAACGACGGCGGTGGTCTCGTTGTGTTGCCTTCGTAGAGTTGAGAAGCGTCGATAATTCGGACAAAGGACAAAGGACCCCCCCCCCCACACGCCGCTCCTCCGTGTAGCCTCGAGCAGGCTGGAGGGGCAAGTGCTGTTAGGCGCGAGTAGCAACAGTGACTATGCACTACACACACAAACAAAGTTCCCCCAGGTAGCCTCTAGCAGGCTGTAGGGGCAAGTGCTGTTAGCTAGCGAGTAGCAACAGCAACTATGTACTGCACACACAAACAAAGTTCCCCCAGGTAGCCTCTAGCAGGCTGTAGGGGCAAGTGCTGTTAGGCGCGAGTAGCAACAGTGACTATGCACTACACCACACACAGACAAAGTTCCCCCAGGATAGCCTCTAGCAGGCTGTAGGGGCAAGTGCTGTTAGCTCACGAGTAGCAACAGTAACTATGTACTACACACACAGAGTTCCCCCAGGTAGCCTCTAGCAGGGCTGTAGGGGCAAGTGCTGTTAGCTAGCGAGTAGTATCAGCAGTGTCTATGTACTACACACACCACACACAGACAAAGCTCCCCCATGTAGCCTCTAGCAGGACTGTAGGGGCAAGTTCTGTTAGCTCGCGAGTAGCAGCAGCAGTGTCTATGTACTACACACACCACGCACAGACAAAGCTCCCCCAGGTAGACTCTAGCAGGGCTGTAGGGGCAAGTGCTGTTAGCTAGTGAGTAGCAGCAGCAGTGTCTATGTACTACAACTACACACACCACACACCGACAAAGGTCCCCCGTGTAGCCTCTAGCAGGCTGTAGGGGCAAGTGCTGTTAGGAGCGAGTAGCAACAGTGACTATGCACTACACCACACACAGACACAGACCCCCCATGTAGCCTCGAACAGGCTCCTGGGGCAAGTGCTGTCAGTGAGCACCTATGAATGTCGGCGCATTGAAACACGAGGGGTTGGGTGGCCTGCACCACGCCCAGAAAAAGATGCTTGCTCGGAGATGTTAACTACCTCGCCTGGTATACAGAAGGTCGTGGGATCGATCCCGACCCTGACGCATCCTGTGCCTCTCTTCCCGTGGTCACGTGGATTTTTCTCCGGGTCCCCCGGTTTTTTCCCTCCACATTTAGAATCGTGCGTTTCGAGTATCTCTTTGGCTGTCGTGCATTTGCTCCGTGACAATATTAGCCGTTTTTTTGGGGGGCGATCGTTTGTGATAGGCCGGTCGCTTCTGAAAAAGAGAGGCACCATAGCTCGGTGGGGCCTTAATCTGGTCAAATATAACAATTATTAACAAGGAAATAAAAGACGTTAAAAGATCCCCCGTGTAGCCTTCAACGGACTGTCAGGGCAAGGGCTGTTGGCGGTCAGCACCTATGAAAGCCGACACTGTGGCACACCTATAGGGGGAGGAGGGGGGGGCTGCATCAAGCACGCCCGGCCGCCTTTGTCTCCCCCTGATGTCGATGTTTACTACATGCCACGGGACCGGGTAACTAATTTTGAGGCTGAGCTCGACCTATGGAAGGAGGCCCAGGTATCAGTTGAGATAATCGCTGTCACTTGGGTGTTAGCGTTGGTGGCCGTGAGCGGGAATCGATTCGCGTGGTCTCTGCCGGATTCTTAGCGCTAACCGCTACGAGACTTCCCGCTAGCCGCTGCGCTTGTGCAAGACCCAACCACAGAAGATGCCCCTTGGGGTTTGACCTTCCACGAAGCTCCACCGCCCAACTTTCAACCACAATGGCAGCAGCGGATGCGAATAAATAAATTAACCGAGGATTTTCCCTGAAGCCCAAATGAATAAGGGGCCGTCCATAAATTACGTCACGCGATTTTGGACGATTTTTTAAATCCCTCCCTTCGTCACACGGCATCACAAAAAGTCAGACCCCCCCTCAAATATGACCGTCACAAAGTTCTGCCCCCCCCCCCCAAAAAAAATTAAACATGCTTCAAATCGCTTTAAACTATTGCCATTGTAGTGCGTATTTAATGTGGCGCTGAACTCTGATGTTATAGGAGAAAACATTCATCTTCTTGGTTCTTTCGGTAAAGTCACGTAGAAGGAAAATAATAAAATAATAAAATTAAACATAATAAAATAATTCTCACGACGTTTCGGCCACAACGCAAGCAGCCGTCCTCAGGTGAAGAACAGGTCTGTCGGGAAGACAGCGTCTGAATGAAACACCACCAGGCTTGGAGCGTATATTTAAGCTGGGTTGGAGGGGGAAGAGCGCCTTGACAAAATAATTTGCATATCAAGAGGAATTTAGCATATTTATGGGAAATGCAGATATGGGATTAGTCACTACTTGTGAAATGCGTAGGAGGTGGGCGGGAGGTTTCAAAGTCATATTATGCCCGTGCATTATGCAGGATTAGCAGCATCAAAGGGAGGGGATAGGGGTAGCATTAATAAAGGGAAGGTATGTTAATAGTATGTAGCTGCAGTAACTAAACCATTTATTAAAAATTATATTTAATTAAGTAGAACGTGTTGTCTATATTTATTTAAAGTTGCGCATTATAATGTGACGTCACATTTCTCAACCCCCCCCCCCCCCGTCACACATCGTCACAAATGTCTGACCCCCCCCCTCCCCCTAGGTGCGTGACGTCATTTATGGACGGCCCCTTATGTAAAAACAGTTATAAATTTTCGTTCTTGGAAATTCAACGTGATCGCCTCTAAAGTACAGTAGTTGCAATATATTTACAACAGTCGGGCGGAGTTTGATTCATTGTTGATTGGCTGTGGCTCTGCTATCATCCACCCAGTGGACCGAGTCTTCTGCTGGGCCGGAGTCAGAAAAGTGTTTTTAAATCCTTTATATTAAGTTCGCTCGCTTGCTTGCGTGCTTGCGTGCTTGCTTGCTTGCTTACGACCGTGCAAATCTTTCGGTCGTTTTTTAACCCACTTCCCGTGATCCAATCGAGCTGACATTCTCCACACAGACTCGTTGTGCGAGACAATTAATGTTCGTGAAAATTTTTTTCCAAAATTTTACACTGTTTAGGGAAAACAAATTAAATATTGTATTACCAATTGCTTAATACTGGCAGACAATCATCTGACCCATAGGTGGCATCCATCTCAAGCCAGAGGACGAGAGGACTCTAGCCGCCACGCATATAAATGATTTATAGTGAAAAACTTTGTTTTTACGGGTTATACTTATTTATCACCGAGCACGCGCATCATCGATCGTTAGGATTCGTTCGCAATCGAATGAGTAGCAATAGAAATAGTCAGTTGCGCTTAATTTTAGGCGATTTATCCGATCGTTTTTTGGGGGGGGTTTAATTTACGTAACTGTGTCCCATGGCAGCGAAACGGAAGCGTGTCGTTTTAACTTTAAACCAGACGCTGGATATTGTACGTAAATTTGAAAACGGCAGTTCCGTTAAACATCTCAAGTTAGACATGTTTTTACACCTAGATCAGTGGTTTTTGGGATAGAGATCCGTGGAAAAATTTATACTTTTTGGGATAGTCCGTGATTTTGAATTATCCGCGGCCGTCCTGCCTGTCACGTTAGCGCGGTTAATCGAGCGTGATTAATCGAATCTACCGGATTCTCCATCGACTGTCGGCTCACACGAAGGGGGCGCTGCACCGCTCGCCGAGACCTCCAAATAGACTCTTCGCCGTCCCGAGGCCGACGCGACAAAGAATCATCCCGACAATTATAATTGATTATCGTTTATTTTTGTATCATCATTATTATTATTTTTGGAAGAAATCATCGCAATCAGTAGATAAATATGAGGTAAATACGTGACAATTAAAAGCTACCAAACTGTCCTGCTTCGGTCGGGACAGTCCCTGCGGGTCCATAATTGCCCTGTGAAAAAAAAAATCTGGATTTTTTTTTGTCCCAGGTTTAAAACTGAAAAATGTTCTGGCCTAATGCTCAATACCTTTTACGGACATGAGCGGGGCTACCTGAGCAGTGGGTGGAGCTACCTGAGTAGTGGATGGCGATAGTGGCTCAGTGGGTGGGACCTGATTAGTGGGCGGTTCTAGTGTCTGAGTGGTGGTTGCTACCTGAGTAGTGGGTGGGGCTGCCTTGGTGGGCAGTGCTAGTGTCTGAGTGGGTGTGGCTACTTTGTTGGCCGTGATAGTAGCTGAGTGGGTGTGGCTACGTGCGTGGTGGGCAGTGCTAGTGGCTCAGTGAGCGGGGCTACCTGAGTAGTGGGTGGTGCTGATGGTTAAGTGGGTGGGACTACTTGATTAGTGGGCGATTCTAGTGGCTCAGTGCTACCTGAGTCGTGGGCGGTGCCAGTTAGTTGAGTGGGCAGGGTTACCTGAGTAGTGGGCGGTGCTAGTGGCTCAGTGGGAAGGGCTACCTGAGTAGTGGGCGGTGCTAGTGGCTTAGTGGGCAGGGCTACCTGAGTAGTAGGCAGTGCTAGTGGTTCAGTGGGCGGGGCTACTTGCGGAGTGGGCGGTGCTCGTGGCTCAGTGGGCTGGGCTACCTGAGATAATGGGCGGTGCCAGTTACTTAGTGAATGTGACTACCCTAATGGGCGGTGCTGGTGGCTCAGTGGGTGGGGCTACCTGAGATAGTGGGCGGTGCCAGTTACTTAATGAATGTGACTACCTTAGTGGGCGGTGCTAGTGGCTAAAAGGGGCAGTGCTAGTGGCTCAGTGGGCGGGACTACCTGAGATAGTGGGCGGTGCTAGTTAGTTGAGTGGGTGTGGCAATATAAAAGCGGGCGTGGCTTACGGAGGGAGGGACTGATAGAGCCAATCCTGAGCCAAAAAACCCCTCTTATCCACGGCCCGACTACTACTTTTGCCTGGTATACAAGATGTCATGAAATTCATGCCCACCCTGACGCCTGTTGTAGATTTGAAGTTTCCGTGTCTCTCTCTCCAAATATACAGCAGCAACAGCAGGCATCGCCAGGGGTCGGGTTTCACGTGCTCGCGAGAGAGTTAACATCTCCCTAAGCCACCGTGGTTGCTCCCCTTTACACAGGTCTCGGGTTAAGACGAAGAACAACCACAGAGCGACGACACCGCCAGCCCTTGTCTGCTCCTTGCCATCGCTGCGACGCCACCGCCCCCATCCACCACCCCCCCCCCCCTTGACTAGAACGTGGCCGTGGCCACGATGAGGAGGGTGAGGAGGAGGATGAGGAGTGAACCAGCGAGGCCGAGGGGCGCGTGGAGACTTGGACCGCCCCTCGACGCGTTGCACAGGTCCTCGGTGCAGCAGGTTGTGCGGACGCTTCCGACCACCAGGTCGATGTTGGTGAGGGCCAGGGAGGCGCAGACGCCCGAGGTGGAGCACAGCTTGGTGAAGGTGTTGACTTTGTAGGGAAGGTGCCGGGGGTAGGAAGGGTAAAGCGAGGGTTGGCGGGATGGCCCATAATGTCCGTCAAACGATTAAACACATTTTTTTTACTTCTAATAATGTTAGTAACCTTCATAAACCAATTATAATATAATATTATTATATTATATTAATATATTATATAATTATATTGTTTTGTTCTGTTTGCTTTCTTTAATTATTTTATTACTTCCATTCTACGTGACTTTACCGAAAGAACCAAGAAGATTAATCCCTGCAGTCACGAAAGCTTTAAATCGAAATTTAACCTTCATAAAAGTTCAATGCACGTGCGCACGTTGAGGCCGATTGTCGGAAGAGCGCCTGTCAACCCCTTATCAGTGCCTCCCTTATTACAGACCAATTCAGACCTTATTGGTCACCCCGTGCCATTACAAATCTCAACGTTCATCCCACAGTCCCATCACAAGAGAGAAACACAAACAAATAGATGTTTATATTCTTTGGGTCTTTCGGTAAAGCCACGTCAATAGAAAAAAAAAAATATCACGACGTTTTGATCGCAACACAAGCAATCGTTTTCAGGTGAAAAAATAAGAGATGGTGGTGCATAACACAGGGCCCTAACAAAGACAGCAGGCACATTTGGGGTAGCGTCTAGAAGTATGATCCAGCAGCATCCCAATGCTCTGTGCGATGATGATGGTACGCCGTGGTAGCAGCCGTATTACCAACCACAGGTTACTTCTACTCGTGCTGCGACCTAGAGTTACGTTCACTAAAATCGCGTTATATCCAATTGGCACCCGCGTTATAAAAAAGAGACGTGTTCCCTATAATGTGTCGATCGCGTTACGCATATCCGAGTCGCGTTCTGAAAACGCACGCACGCGCGGCGTCATAGGAGAACGGGCTGTATTTATGATGATGATGAGTATCACGATGATTACACTGGTCAACACATTTTTTCTGGCATAAGGTATTCCAACGGTTTTAAGGTAATTTTGGGGTGCTGATTCCAAATCTGGCATCAGTTTTTGTCTTTCACATCAGGTTTTTGAGATATCAAATATTGCATTTTCAATAAAAACTGCAGAAGAAAAATATTAAATAAATGTGGATATATACATAAAATTATATTATAAATACACTATCCTAAAAATACAGCGCCATATTTTAACACTAAAGCAGTCACTGACTCGCAACAACTTGCAATCATAAGTGACAGAGTTAATTTCGGGTAAAATCAATTAAAATTGGGTATGCCGATAGCATAAAATGAGATGTGATAGAGCAAATCTGAGATCAGATTTGGAATCAGCACCCTGAAATTAGTCTAAAACAGCTGCAAAAGTCCAGGCCAGAATTTTTTTTTTGTTGACCAGTGTTATCGGACGGCGACTTCTAATGGTACTTACACCCGATGGCGCCGATCACATTCGTCTGGCAGGTGTCCATGCCCTCTGTGCAATTCACGGGGCCGTTCCCATTGCAGTTCTCATTGCTGCGTGCGGCTATGCACGTGAAACATTGCAGAGCACGTGCTGTGTGTGTGTGTAGTAGAGAGAGGGAAAACAACATCGCTTGCTGTTAGTTTAACTTTCGGTTGGTTTCACTTCACCAGTAGATTCTCAAGCCCTTTTTTTAGGCGACTGGCACCCCCGGGTTGTTGAACCTTCTTGCCAACCGAGTGGCTAGGAGATGTTAACTACCTCGCCTGGTATACAGGAGGGTGTGGGTTCGATCCCGAACTCTGCCAATGCCTGCTGCTGTATATGTGGAGTTCGCATTTCTCTTTCTCCCCGTGGTCGCCTGGAGTTTTTTCTCCGGCTCCTCCGGTTTTTCACTCCGCCTTTAAAAACGTGCGCTGAGAGTATTTGGCTGCGATAAATGTCCACGCTGTATTCCACGTGAAACTGGATGCGTCACTAATGGACATCAAAAGTGAACCCTGGCTTTATGATGATGATGATGATGGAGGCTCAGGGAGTAGCTTCATCCAGCAGTGGCTGGACCCTGGCTGATGATTACACTGAGAGACAGAGAGAGAGAGAGAAAGACGTGTGGATTAGAGAACAACCATTGGCTTAAAGATATCATCATCACATTGATCTTCATCCAGCAGCAGCGGGTAAACCCTGGCTGGTGATCACACTGAGAGACAGAGAGGAACACGTGGATTAGATAACACACGCAGGGTATAGAGACATCACCACTACACTGATCATCATCCAGGCAGTGGATTGACCACTGCGATGATGATGACACTGGGAGAGACAGAGAGGGACACGTGGGATAGAGAACGCACGGCTAGGGAACAGAGACATCGCCACTACACTGATCATCATCATCTAGCAGTCGATAGACCATTGCGATGATGATGACACTGAGAGAGGTAGAGACGAACACGTGGGATAGAGAACACACGGCAGGGCGTAGAGACATCACCACTACACTGATCATCATCCAACAGTCGATAGACCACTGCGATGATGATGACACTGAGAGAGACAGATAGGGACACGTGGGATACAGAAAACACGCAGGGTATAGAGACATCACCACTACACTGATCATCATCCATCAGTCGATAGAACATTGTGATGATGATTACACAGAGGACAACACGTGGAATAGAGAACACACGCAGGGCGTAGAAACATCGCCACTACACTGATCATTATCATCATCATCCATCAGTCGATATACCATTGCGATGATGATTACACTGAAAGGCGAAGAGGAACACGTGGAATAGAGAACGTACGCAGGGCGTAGAGACATCGCCACTACACTGATCATCATCATCCAACAGTCGATAGACCACTGCGATGATGATGACACTGAGTAGGCAGAGAGAAACACGTGGGATAAATGACACACGGCAGGGAATAGAGACATCAGCCACTACACTGATCATCATCCAGGCAGTAGATAGACCATTGCGATGATGATGACACTGAGTAGGCAGAGAGAAACACGTGGGATAAATGACACACGGCAGGGAATAGAGACATCACCACTACACTGATCATCATCCAGGCAGTAGATAGAACATTGCGATGATGATTACACAGAAAACAACACGTGGTATAGAGAACACACGCAGGGCACAGAAACATCGCCACTACACTGATCATCATTCTCCAACAGTCGATAGACCACTGCGATGATGATGACACTGAGTAGGCAGAGAGAAACACGTGGGATAGATGACACACGGCAGGGCACAGAAACATCGCCACTACACTGATCATCATAATCTAGTAGTGGATAGACCACTGCGATGATGATGACACTTAGAGAGACAGAGACGAACACGTGGGATAGAGAACACACGCAGGGAATAGAAGGCATCACCGTTACACTGATGATGATTGTTACCTGGCGTTACGGTAGCAGACATCGTGACGATCAGAACGAGCAGGAGAGTTGAGAAAGTCATGGTTTTTCTTTCTTTTGTGGCCGTTTGAGAATATTAAAAAGTTTTTTTGGGGGGAGGAGGGTTGTTTAAACCCTGAGCGGAATGAGTGTGCGTCAGCAGAGAGATCCGAGCGCTCGACTGAAGGAGCCTCACGAAAGTGGAGTGGGGTTGGGTCTCTTTTTATGCAGCACACACGGTTAAAGCTGACGTGAAATTAAAGTGGACACTTGGGAGTGGGCGTGTCCTTGCCCATATATGGTAGCATGGCCTCAAAGGGGGCGTGGTTTAGGTATTTACGGATCGCTAATTTATTAGAGACACTTTCAGCATACCTGTCAACCCCTTATCAGCGCCTACCTTATTACAGACCAATTCAGACCTTATTGGTCACCCTTTGCCCTTATAAATCTCAACGTTCATCCTACAGAGTCCCATCACAAGGAAGAAAGACGAACAAATAGACGCATTTTCTGTTACCCGTATTGAAATAGCTGTATGCCGTCTGGACCTAAATACTCAATTTCCCTGTTCAAGAAAACGGGGTAAACCGTATCGGTTGACAGGTATGAGTGTGTAGTAGTGTATAGTATAGTGCAAAGTAGCGTATAGTGTAGTGATATATGATTTTTTGTTTTATTTTATTATTTTTCTACCTACGTGACTTTACCGAAAGAACCAAAGAGTATAGTGTATAGTAGCGTAGTGTATAGTAGCGTACAGTGCCAGCATTCATAGGTGCTCGCTAACAGCACTTGCCTCAGCAGTCTGTTAAGGCTATTACGAGGGTTCGTAGTGCTGCGCTCTAACCACTACACTACCGCTCACATGCGCGCACGCATGCACACACACACACGAAGTCATAAATAGGCTCACAACATAGACAACGACAAACGTAATGGCAGTCAGTACAGATGTTTTATTTTAATCCAGAAAAAAAGAAAGGAAGTTGCACAGAGCACAACCCAACCCAAGTCACGTTTGGATATATCCAGGACTCAACAACCTTTATCCATCAAACTCGTAACCAATCCTCATTCAACCAATAGAGCCGCAGTGAGACAAAGACGCAAGGAGATGATTCTTTGCGGGGCACACAACCCACGGAAGTTGGTCATTGTTGCATGGTTTTTGTTCTTTTTCCAGGCAGTTCCAGCGCCGCCATTTTTTTCATGTTGTGGCGGCCATTTTATTGGGAGGGAGCCCCCCCCCCCACCCAAAGGCCCACCTACAAAAAGTAGGAGGGCTTTTGGAGGGGATGGGGTTTTGTGCCAACGCATGGCACAACAAACCAAAACGACAAAATGACATACCTGTCAAACCCTTGTCAGTGCCTACCTTATTACAGACCAATTCAGACATTATTTTAAACCTTGCCCTTATGAATCTCAACGTTCAGCCTACAAATTCTTATCACAATGGAGAAACACAAACAAATAGACAAAAAAAATGTGCCCAGGTTGAAATGGCTGTACACCGTATGAACCTGAAAACTAAATTTCCCTGTACAAGATGACAGGTAAATCATATGGTTTGACAGGAATTAAATGATCGTAACACCGCCCCCCCCCCCCCCAAAAAAAACACGTAAAACCGAATATGCAACTGCGACCACCGTAACTTCCGTGTACTGCTATCAACCGGTTAAAAAAAATCTGTACTGACGGGAGAGCTAAATAACGATATACATACACTCGGTGCCGGGTGGGGTGGGTAAGGGCACGCGTAAACACACGTGGGGAGATGTCTTTGGAGGGCTTCTCGCAAGCGAAGTGGAGGGGGGTACGGCAGATTCGATTCGAGCGAAAATGCCTCCACTGCCGAGCTCTGAGGTTTCAAAGCTGCCTCCGTGTTAAAATAAAACGCCAGTGACTACGTTAACGAAGGCAAAAAAAGGGTTAATCGACTCGTCATAAAAAAATTGCGATGCCAGATGCATTCGTATATATATGTAAATATGTTTATCTATCCATAAACTAAACTCCTATCGGGGTGTTGCACCTATCCCAATCGGGTTCTTAAGTTTGTTTTTGCGTCGAGTTTAGTTTAGTTGTCCTTCCACCCGCCTGCAACTTCTGATTAGCGTGCTTGGCTACGTACAGTGCGAAAGAAGTTCAACATACACACATACACGTACGTATGTTACAATCCCACCTGACTATTAGAATCAGCCCGGCCGCCACAGTTGGTTATTGACAGTCGATCCCCAAAGCACCGTTACGATTTGCTGTTTCATTAACGCATCACACAGCGTTCATCGCGGAGTCATATTCTTAGCCCACCGATCACAGAAACCCTCCCTCCCACCACCCGCCCTCCCACCAGCACCAGTTTTTTGTTTCGATTAAAGCCAGGGATCTTTTAAAATATCTTAATTATATATATATTTTTTCATTCATATTGATTTGTTAGTTTCCTTCTTCTTCTTCTCCCCGGTCACGTGAAGCCATCGTTGTTTTTTTTTCTTAAATGCAAAGAAGTTCGAAGACAAACTTTAAGGACCACTGCCGCCGGCAAGCTCGCTCACTCACTCATTCACACACTCGCGCAATCGCTCACTCATTCACGCACGCACTCACACTCGCGCACTCAAGGGTCTGATTCGCGTCTTTTGCAGGAAGTTGGCGTGCGGTGATGGAGGGGGTGGGGGGTTAGGAATTTCACGAATGACGGAATGATACCATCTTGCCGACGATGAGAATTTCATAGTCAATGCTTGGGTAGTTAGACTGGATGGATTTAGGTGGGTGAACTTACACTTTGCAATGCGCTTGATTGCAAAGGTGAGTAACTTGAATTATATTTGGCGACACGTACACACAGACTCACACACGCGCATATGCATGTATGTGTGTGGTGCATGATGCATCGTGACGCACCGTGGCCTCCAGAGTGCACCTAGCCTGGCGCAAGCTATAATCTCATCGCCATTAGATCGCGAACATAACAATTCAACGCTCCGGCAGGAATGGGTCGATTCCTGAGGCTGAGCTGTGACTTTGCAAAGGCGACGGGGCTCGTGGATTTGAAAACGTTTATCTAATTAGGAGTGCTTGACAAGATAGGGAGTGGGTGAGTGAGTGGGCGAGCAGGCGAGCGGGTCAGGAGCGGGGCAGCTGTGGGAGGCGGAGTATGTGGTGAACCTACACCCCTTCAGGGTGGTGGTGGTGGTGGTTGGCGGCGGGCGGCCGTCCGTAACGTTCTTCATCGAGTTGCTTCTTCACCATAGTCCTGAGTCACTTCCGGAGGTAGCACTTCCTGCTGAAGTGGCTGCAGACATGGGGACGCAGGACTGGGTATACGTTGCAGATCGTTAGTGGGTTGCATTCAATGATATCAGTATCATTCATTGTCATCGTTAAGAATCAATTCGTGGCCACGCGAAGATTGGACCTGATACGTCATGAAAACTAAACCGGCATAAACCGTCATCACGCAAACTCCGGACATCCTCGCAGCGCCGACGGCTTTTGGCTAGCCGTTAAACAAAGACGGTCACCATATCACGCGCTTTAATATACTTTGCACAATACACTATACGGTTCACTATACACCACACTTTTGGCTAACCGTCGAACAAAGATAGTCACCGCATCGCACACGTGCTTTCAAACGTGCTTCTGGGGCCGTTTGGTAAGCTCTTCCTTCCGAGTTTAGGAAGCCACTGGGAGCTACGCACCTTTAAATCTAAATTAAAAAGTCATCGTTTTAGCACTGCTTTTTGTATGGGTCTCTTGGGTCAGTGTATTGGTCTCTGGCTGGGTGTATGGGTCTCTGGATAGGTGTATGGGTTTCTGAGTAGGTGTTTAGGTATCGGGGTAGGTGTATGGGTCTCTGGGTAGGTGTATGGGTCTCTGGGTGAATGTATGGGTCTCTGGGAAGGTGTATGGGTCTCTGGGTAAGTGTTATGAGTCTCTAGGGTAGTGTATGTGTATCTGCGCGAGCCTATGGTGTCTCTGCGAGCGTCACTTACCGGCCACAACAACCTAGACAACGGGCGCGAATGGGGCACCTGCATACACGGCACCTGCACCCACCACCACAGGCAAAGATAACACAAAGATTCACTCCAAGCGCGTGTAACAATTATTCACCACGACACACTGCCAGAGACCACCCACTATTTTTGAATAGCCAGCCGCACACCCCACCTCTGCTACTGGCCCCGCTCACCTCTGTCAATGGCCCTACTTACAGTACCTGTCAATGGCCCCGCCTCACTTAGCTGCTAGTCCCCAACCATGTGTAGAGACAGTGCGTGGACTAGCAGCCACGAGTGGTAATATAGCCAGTCAGCTATATAGTCAGTCGTCACTATATAGTCAGTCAGCTATATAGTCAGGAGTCGTTATGTCCTCAAAGTCGTAGCTGTGAGATTGAGTCGACGCTGGGAAGAGATTGAAAATAAATCAAAATAAACCCTCTACAGTCCGTGTCTCCCAAGTCATTCTACATGTAAGGAGTGGAACCTAACTGTCCATGCGCGCGCGCCCTTTGCCGGAAAGGGTAAAACTTTCTTATTTTTTCATAATTTGTTCATGGCAAAAGGGTCTCAAATTTGGAACTACGTCGTGCGAGAAGAAATAAGCGATCCTAATACGGCTGCTGCCTTGGCGTAGCATCATCACACAAGGCATTGGGAGGCTTCTAGATGCTACCCACGTGCCTCCAGTCTTTGTTCAGGCCCTGCGTTACTCATAATCTCACGCGTTACCATGGAATGTGCTTTAACCCCTACATTATATGAGCTGTGGTTTGTAATACAGCTGCTACTTCGGCGTAGCATCTTCATGCAAGGCAATGGGGATGCTGCTGGACGCTTCTAGACCGCTGCTCTCCTACACGTGCCTCCAGTCTTTCTTCAGGCCCTGCGTTACGCATCGTCATCTCATGCGTTTATTATTTATTAGAACGCGATTTTTCCACAAAGCGTTACAGAAGAAAATAAAAACACACTAAACACACACTCCATAGCTCTATAGACGCTGGGAACGATTTTTGCACCGGGCATTGGCCGAGGGTAAAGAGAAGCCCTCACCCAGTTTGCTGTTGACCACGTGGGGAGCCACGACGCCGGCGCCGATGCCCAGGGGGTAGCCGAACCCGCCGAGGGCTACAAACAACACACACAGAGAGGAGGTTAAAGGTCAAAACACCTCATCTACCCACACTCCCGCAACACAGTCACACACAGACACCCGCACACGTGGGTTTACATTGGATAATCGAGATGCCAATGGCCTTTGGTCCTTTCAACCCTGTTGGGAGTGCCATCGGCCTACTTCAGACTCCTCTGCCTTAAGTAACCAACAGGTTAAATTTCGATTTAAAGCTTTTGTGACTGCAGGGATTCATCTTCTTGGTTCCCTTCTACGTGACTTTACCGAAAGAACCAAGAAGAAGATAACCAACAGGTTACCCAGGGTTCCACTGGCATGTTGGGAGTGCCATCAGCCTACTTCAGGCTCCTCTGCCTTAAGTAACCAACAGGTTACCCAGAGTTCCACTGCCATGTTGCAAATGCCATTGGCCTATTTGAGTTTCGTTTGCTTTCAGTAATCAACATTCTATGCCTTTCACCCGCTCTCCTACCTCTACGCTCTTATTTCATTCTAATCCCCTCTATGTACTCCCGGCTCCATGAACCAAGGCATAAAATCGAAGCCCGCAAGTCAACCGTCACTCGGTGGGAAGTCGCCCATTCTGCGATAATGCTCCTGCTGCCCGCAATGTCTAGAACTCCTTTCCTTTAGTTCAGTCATTCGTGCTGTTGACTTCCCTGTTCCCCATAAATACAAGTCCAGGCTCAACACGTATAGTGCCACAGAGTGTTGGCAGTTGTTGGAGAATGCTGTGTTAACCAGTTCGCACCTGCGGGTTCTATCTTCGTAAAAAAATTAAACCCGTGAATGGAATTGGCCAAGCATCCCCAACACGGGAGCACAGAGCATGGGCAACCGTTGGCTGCAGGTTTTCGTCCGCCTTTCCGCTCGTCTCGTGACTTATACAAACTAGTAACAACATTAGCGGTGCTCACAGCTAACACTGCAATGACGCGTTACAATTGCTGCTGATCGAGCCGTGTTGTTACCGGTCAGGGTAATAGCGATAATGACAAGATCATTATCACTATTGTGATCAATGCAAATCATCATCGACGCGAGGTATCATCATTCGTGCGCGTGCCCCATTGCTGTTGCTATAACCTTGGACAAAATACCGGTCACGTGCCATTATAAAACAACAGCAGTGGTTGGAGAAAGTAATGATATCGATGATGATCGGAGATGGCCGTTAAGTACTTTGTTAAACCCCTCCCCTCCACCAACACTTCAGCTGTAACCAATTCAACGTTGACTTGAAATAATTGTTGTTCATCATTAGACCTCCTTTGCCAGTACCAAAATATAAGAATAGGATGTTTTCCCCTTTTTTCTGGCAACAAAACTGAAACCTTTTTACAAGAAATCATGTCTGCATTAACCACAGTACATGGATTTTGACCACAAGTATTGTGGTTAATGCAGACATGATTCCTCGTAAAAAGGTTTCAGTTTTCGCCAGAAAAAAATGGGAAAACACCCTATTCTTATAATTGATGTTGTTGTTACTAGCGACTCGCATTTGTCTTTGGCCTGTCGTCGTGGCAGTAGGGTGGTGGTAGGGGATTTAAATGTTGAATTAAAACATTTAGAAAGGGGTGGGGTGGGTGGGGGAGCACATGCAAGCTCATGCACATGCACCATACCCACCGTGGTGGTAGGGGGCCCCATAGTATCCGAGCCCACCGTATGGGTGGACGAGTCCAGCTGCTAGGGAAAGACAGTTCCGTGTTTAATGCGCGGGGAGGGGGGGGAGGTTCGACATGAGATTGTCGATGGATGTATTTGATGCGGTGGCTAGGAGACGTTATAACTACCTTGCCTGGTATACAGGGGGTTTGTGGGTTCAATTCCGACGCTGACAATGCCTGCTGTTGTATATTTTAAGTTTTTGATTTTTTTTTTTCTTCTGGGTCCTCCCGCCGTTTTTTTCCCGCTCCACGTTTAGAAATATGCGGTTAGAGTTGATTTGACTGCTATAAATTTCAGCGTGATAACTCGCTTCGTTAGGGTTATCATTTGTCATCGCCAGGTTCCTTCTGACAAAATTGCTACATAGCTCAGGGGGCCCTTACCTGGCAAAATAACAAATATTTAATAGTTAATGACAAAGGGCTAATGGGTCTTATCAAACTGCTCTGCTTTGATTGGCACAGTCATAACGGTTGATTATGTTCCCGTGAAATGTGGCTTTTCGGCCAAGGTTAAAAAAATATTATTCCCCTCATGATCAACTCCTCTTCTGGGCAGGGGAGGATCTACCTGAGCAGTGGGCGGAGCTGGAAGAGGAATGGGTGGGGCTTATCATCAGTGGGCAGTCGAGTGGGCGTGGCGCTAACGTTCTTTTAGGAAGCAGCTTAACCTAACTAGCTCGGTAGTTTCGCACGTACGTGTGTTTGTACGTTGAACTTTTTTTGCACCTTACATAGTCAACCACGCTAATCAGAGGTGCGGGGGTGGCATGGGGCGAGGACTACGTCATAAAGCTGAGGGGATATTTGAACTTTATGGCAGAACCCCGGGGTCCCATAAGCCCCAGGCTCTCGCATTAACTGTGTTGCGATGTCATTTTACGTCTGTCGAAGGCGAACGATACGGCGATCTATTCCTCTCGACGAGCTCTACACGATGCGCTAATCAAAGTTTCAAAGTTTTGTTTCTTCTGCGCATTCGTCCTCGCTGCTGCGCTTGGACACGACATGACAACAGAACGATCCACGCCAGGCAGGTCGCGCCTTTTATGTGCGCGGTGGGACGGAGCCGCCAAAAAATAAATAAATAACGCCTTTTACTTCCGTTTATTCTAGGACCCCAGGGAAGAGGACGCAAACGGGTTTTGATTCCTTACCCGTACCCGGCCGCACCAGGGTCGCAAACGGGTACCCGTACCCTACACGATACCCGGCTACCCGTACCCGGCCGGGTATCGGGTAGGGTACGGGTACGAGTACCCGATTGTGACCTCTGGGATGAAGCCATGTTGCAGGCGCGGGTGGGTTGATTCTAGGAATTTAAATTGTGAGAAGAGTCAAGACGTTGGGAAATGAGTGACAAACGGTGACTCACCAGTGACTCACGGCCTACCCGTACCCGTACCCGGCCGCACCAGGGTCGCAAACGGGTACCCGTACCCGGCCGGGTAGCCGGGTATCGGGTAGGGTATGGGTATCGGGTACCCGATTGCGACCTCTGCCGCAGGATCCTGCCATAAGGTTAATTTGTCTTTTGCCTAGTGGAAGGGGAAGGATCTCTTACCTGCATGGTGCTTGTAGGCCCCTGCAATGGCCACTCCGGGATAGTAGCCTAGACCACCATAGCCCAGACCGCCTGTAAGAGCGAGTAAGGAGAGAGGGGGAGATAGAATAGAGAGTGTTAGGTGTCAGGTTCAATCCGCTGCTGGATGGGGTTCTCCCCCCCCCCCCCCCCCCCCCCCCCCACGTAGGCCTTGTTGCGGTGGCCTGTTTTAAGTGCTCGGCAAGTAATTGCTGCAAGCGTGGTGCTCACACTGCGACGTGTTGTTGTGTGTACGCTGAACTTCTTTCGCAGCTTACATAGCCCACGCGGGTTCTTCCATGAGCCAACACTTTTTACACAACCTAAAACGCGCATCGAACATAATGCCACTTTTCAGCAGTCAATGACAAACTGCTTGACGCCTTCAAACATGTGTCTATCCGGTATTTGAACAGCCTAACACCACCTGCATTATTGTAGAAAAAGAGTAAAGCCGATTCTTTTTTCGTCATTTTGATACCGGCAAAAAGGGTCCCATAGACATAACAGGTGATTATCGTCAGCCTGCCCCCCCCCCCCCCCCCCCAATGGCACTGCTCACAGCACAGCAACAGTGTTAGCGGCTGGCAACAACTGAGTGTATGCATTTATTTTGTAGAACAGGATGATTCGTGTAAGCATGTTGAACTTCTTTCGCACCATACGTAGCCAACTGTGGCCCATCGGAGGTTGCGGGGGAAGTACAATAAACAAAACACTACAAACTGTTCTAAGAAATTAGTTTGGCAATCTAGATGATTATTTAAAAGTGCACAGCCCCAGTGGCTTCCTAATATTGGAAAAGCGTTCCAGATGGATGCAGAAGCGCATCTGAAAGCGCCGCGTGGTGATGCGGTGACCACTATCTTTGTTTGATGGTTAGCCAAAAGCCGCCGCTGCTGCAAGAATTATCAGAGTTTGCGGAATTGTGTTTTTTGCTACTTGACTAAATCCGCAGCGAGGTATCGTGGTTCACTTGGTGGCAAGCACTTTGTACGCAATGAGTGTGACGTTATAATGTATTTGTTCGGAAACCGGAAGCCAAGGCATCTAGGTGAGCACCTGACACTTGATTGGTCAGACCGATGTGAGTGAGATGCGCCAATGACTTACCCACTATAAGATGTCCACGAGTTATTGAAGAGACACAGGGAGGTAGGGAGACACATTGATAAGGAATGTGAGTGCGTGAGTGAGAATGCGAGTAAGTGTACGTATGCGTGAGTATATGAGTGCGTGCATGTGCGCACGTGTGTGTGTGTGAGTTGTAGTGGGAGAGGGAAAGACAGACGTCAGGCAGTGGAGTAGGGAGGAGAATTATTGAAGCAATACATTCGTACAGCGGTAGCCAACCGCTGTACCCCCGGTGGCCAAAGCTATGAGTTAGGGTCCCCCCTTGACAACCCACCACCACGAGATTTGTTTATAACAACAATATCAAAATAACAACCGACAAACTTATTTAATATTAATATAATAATGCAATTCATAATAGAGGTTTTTGGGTTAGATCGCGTAAATATATAAATGTGTCGTTAAAACCCACCACCACCCTACACAGCCAACTAGTAAGGGTTGTCACGTAAACAGAACGTGCCAATTCGTCACTAGTACAGCACACCGGTGTGTTGCTGAGCCAAGCCCACAACATTTACAAACTGAGTACGCCGTTTCGCCAGTAATTACAACGAGCTTCATCAGGCGACAGCCAGATTTGTGAAGTCTTACTGTTTCGTTCCTTATATAGAGGCGTAGATGTGTGTGTGTGGGGGGGGATCCATCCCCCACCGAACATTGTGCAAGAGCGCAGAAGGGTGGTCAACACATCTAGTACATGGCCCAGTGAGCCCACGTGTTGACCCAGAGACAACACGAGCCAATAACACCGTTTTGAATGTCAACAATTGTGATTTTTAACTCACTAAATGCAATTAAGTGAGTGTGCGGTGGTGAGTGAGTTGAATGTGGTGGTGGTGAGTGTAATGAACCTCACTCACCCAGAGGGTGTCCCAGATATCCGGTATTGAAAGTGCTCACTTTCTGCTTGCCAATGACAGCTGCAGTAAGGCAGAATGACACGTGCGCAACACAAACAGACACACTGAGACAAAATCAATCAATCCCCTTCATAGCCTACATATCATGTTAGGGAAAGTGCTGTTAGAAAGTAGCAGCACCTATGAAGGCCGGCACAACGCGCAACCGCCTTTGTGTCCCCACCGGTGATGTTTGTACACTGCACCATATGCGCATTCATAAGGCCAGGTTAAAGAAAGGCCCAGGACCAGTTCAAATATTCGCCACCGTTGGAGAGCCAAGCCACAACATTTACAATCTGAGTACTACGTTTCTCCAGTAATTACAACTAGCTTCATCAGGCGACAGCCAGATCGCCACACTCACACAGAGATCCCGTCCAACTTACGAGTGGCGGTGGCGAGGTGAAGGAGGGCGAGGACGAGCAGAGCTTGCATAGCGGTGGTGGCCATTTTTCTTTTGGGGTTTTTTTGCTTTCGCTGTCAACGACGAGAAAGAGAGTGGCTTGAGTTGAGGCAGATGAAGCTTTACTTCGGAGTGACGAGCCTGGGAGTTTGAGACCCGGCTTTAAATGCAGCAACCAGGGGCTGGGCCTGGCTCTGACCCAGCCAGCAACAGGGCCCAGCCTCAATAGGTGCAGTGTCGCGCTGGTAGCGGCCAAAAGCAAAGCAAACGCCACCCCGTCTATTTCCTGTCAAAATACGGGAGCTGTAACATTCTCTCTCTGTCCTCCTCCCACCCTGCTAACGTAAATACCACAATTTTCTAATTAAACGTTGAACAAAGAGACGCTCAACTAAATAAGGGAACTGCTTGATTCATTCTGAAATTAAAATGTGAAAAAGCCAACATTTTGTGAACAGCTTCATGCTAAATAATAATATCATAGCAAACATGGAGGGTGGCCTGAAGCACCCTTGCTACTGGCTGAACAAGAGGCATCCTCTTTGAGAGATGTTCCCAAACAGAAACAGGACCTCCTTTCAGTTCCTGTTTTGCCAAAGGCTGGGCAAAATTAAATGTCAACGTGTGGCGTCTGAATGGGGCCCCATGTCTTTTTTTTTCCTCAACGCGTATAAGGAAGGGGGTGGCCTCGTTTGAACATTGGGAGGGTAAACACGGCCAACAGAGAGGTGTTGAGGCCTCTATAAATGTTTTTGGGCTACGTTTTTTGATTGAGCGTCTGTACATTTCCACTCTACGCCGCTAAATGTCGCATTTGCCTCGATATTAAACGAAAACTAAACGTATGTTTTCTTTTATTTGACCTAGTAAGCCCCTCTACTGAGCTAGTGTGGCTCATTTTTCAGAAGCGACCTGGCCAGCACAAGTGGTAGCTGAACGAAGTGGTGGCTTGTCATCACGTTGAGCAGCCAAATGCTCTTAAATGCCGTGATGTTGCTTTTAAATGTGGATGGAAAAACCGGAGGACCCGGAGAAAAATACACGCGACCACAGAGAGAACATGCCAATTCAAAGTATTCAGGAGTCAGGATTGCGATCAAACCCATGACTTCCTGTATACCAGGCGAGGTAGTTAACATCACTTCCGATGCCTTTGTAGGCAGCTTAACTCAACAACTCCATCCAACCATCGTGAATTCTAGACAGATTACGATACAGCGGTTTACGTCGGGGATGCGTTCCTGAAAGGTGCAGTGGCGAATATCGAAACGAATGTTAATCAAAGCGATTGACAGGGTAGTAGGTGCAAGCAGGCGCGCAGCGACCTAAGTGGGGGGGGGAGGGGGGCTATGCAAGATACGACTGTGGGCCCTGCCTCCTTTATCAAGACTCACTTTTACTGAAATCGCTTCGAATGTTTTCAACCCCGTATGTAATAATATGTTAGGCTATAAGATGTATAGAGGAAGACAGTCTCACAGTGGCAGTATTCATGAGATTTAATGGTACAATACTACTCACAATTAAGTTACCGCGTGTCTTTACTTTCATACGCATGTCAATTAACAAACAAAAGCCCGGTGTTCAGTGACAACCACCAGCAGTGCTACAATATTTTGTGGCGTGCATTTTTCGGAAATGTTATTTTTTCATTTGGATCTATGTTTTTTTTGGCATTCACGGTTGTTGGTGTCTATTTTTTGTCGAATACTTTCTCTTCAAATTTTATTACTTGTTTATCTTTTAATTCGGGGCCCCCTTGTGGCCGACTGGGCCCACTATGCGTCGCACAAGGCTGCCCCATAACCCACCCCCATAGTTGCCCCCTGGGTGGAGGCGAAGGCTGAGAAGCGACGGATAAGAAGAAAGGACGGACGGTGCTGTCAGCGATGTAAGTGTGGGGTTGAGGCGACGCAAATCAGGCAGCGGTTTTCATAAAGAAACGACTTATTTGCAAAACGACATAAAAGGGGAAGAAATAAATCGGGTATTACTGGTTTTTAGTTTTGAGTGGTTTTTGGGTTTTTTGTGGGGTTTTTCGGCTTTTAGTGGTTTTTGGCCTTTTTAATGAGTTATTTTGTTTTTCGGAGGGTTTTTGTATTTTCTTCGGTTTTTAGTGGTGCTTGGGTTTTTGGTGGAAACAAGCAATCCGTGCCGCGTTAATACTATGTTGTTGGGGGGCGCCCCCCAACAATCTAATACGTATATATGCTTTTATTTATTATCACATACTAAACTAAAAAAATTCTATATTTTTGTTCAAATTTTCTTGCTGTGGATTTCACACCTGATGATGATTGCTTGTGTTGCAGTCGAAACGTCGTGATAATTTTTACTGTTTTATATTTTTATTATTTTATTCTTTCCCTTCTACATAACTTTACTGAAAGAACCAAGAATATGAATCCCTGCAGTCACGAAAGCTTTAAACCGAAAAATACATATGACATGCTAATGAAGTGGCTTATCATGTGGAAATTTATAGCAGCAGCCAATTACTCTAAACGCGTGGATGCTGATTCTAAATGTGGAGTGAAAAACCGGAGGTCTCAGGAGGAAAATCCACACGCAAACTCCAAATGTAAAGGCACCAGCGTTGGGATCGAAGTCACGACCTCCTGTATACCAGGCGAGGAAGTTAACATCTCATAGCCACCGTGGCTTCCTGCAACGGTGGCCAAAAGACAAGCCAACACGTCACAAAACACTACCACTGCTAAATTCCCCAGTCGCTCCCACTGATCTAGCACTGAATACATTCACAAATGTATCTAAGACGTATTATGGAGGCCGATGGCTTCAATGGGCAGGCTGACGAGAGCGGCAGGCGGCCAACACCAGGGGAAGCCGCCGCTGCCGCGGAAGCAAAAGAAAATTTAAAAGTAATAAACAAAAAAAAACCTAACTTAATGGAATGTGATGGAGGGGGCCAGGAAGAGGGGCAAGAAAAAAACGGAGACAGAGCGGGAGCGGGGAGACGCTGCCTGCACACGCGGCGCATATACAGCACCAGAGGTCGCAACCAGGTACCCGATACCCGTACCCTACCCGATACCCGGCTACCCGTGCCCGGCCGGGTACGGGTACCCGTTTGCGACCCTGGTGCGGCCGGGTACGGGTAAGGAATCAAAACCCGTTTGCGACCTCTGTACAGTACTCTCATATATTTGCGTTTATACCCACGTTGCATATATTCACACAAGACAAAGACACGCAGTCGCATTTTCTGTATCTATAGATATCGATATGGGCGTGACGGTGGTGAGATATTAACTACCTCGCCTGGCGAACCCAGTTCGATTCTCGCTCACTGCCAACACCAGCGACGATTCAACACCAGCGACGATTATCTGAACCGATCTTGGGCCTTTCCTAGAAAAAAGACTCAGCCTCAAATGAGTTTCGATTTAAAGCTTTCGTGACTGCAGGGATTCATCTTCTTGGTTCTTTCGGTAAAGTCACGTAGACGCTGTCTTTCCGACAGACCTGTTCTTCACCTGAGAACGGCTGCTTGCGTTGTGGCAGGAAACGTCGTGAGAATTATTTTATTATGTTTTATTTTTATTATTTTATTATTTCCCTCAAATGAGTATCTGGTGCGATGGGTAAACTTCGCCAATGGGGAGACAAATGTAGCCAGGTGTGATATTGGCCACCCAAGCCTTCGTGTGCTGTGGCAGCCTTCAAAGTTGCTCGCTCTCACAGCACCCAACAGTCTGTTCAGGCTATAGGGGCAGTGGCGGAGCCAGTGGGGGAGGGGGGGTGGCACGTGCCCCCCCCAATGATCCGATCGAAATACCTAATTTCGATCGGATCATTGGGGTTTATTAGTAACTAGCCTTACTACCCGGCTTCGCCCGGGACTTGGATTCACCACGCCCGGCCGCCTTTGTCTCCCCAGTAGCGATGTTCACACACCACAGCAGTTACTCGTTTTGAGGCTGAGTCGACCAAGGGGAGGCCCAGGACCGGTTGACATAATCGTCACCGGTGGCCGTGAGCGGGAATCGAACTCGGGTCGCCGGGTTCGTAGCGCAGCGCGCTAACCGCTACACTACAATGCGTTACGCTTCCACATGCGCGGGTCACGTGACAGATTGACGTCACAGCTCACTTGCCGTGCAACAAATATATGCATTATTGAGCCCCCCCCTCCAACAAAAAGTGTATTGTTATAATTTTTGCATGGTGTATAGTCTGGAAAGTACCCACATAGCGATTTTCAAGTTTGTTGCATGTCGGGAAGTACGCTAAACATTTTGAACAGACACACATAATCACAACTTTACCTTTTATATATATGGAGATACATCGGCATTTCGCATACTTTCAGGCAATGCGCCATCGCCGCACACGCATCGAATAATTCCTATCATTGCTGGAGGGGTTGCCCCCCCTTCCTGAAAATCCTGGCTCCACCTCTGTATAGGGGGGGGGGGTCTTTGTTTTGTATGTGGGTGTAAACGTGTGCGTGCGTGTGTTTGCCTTCATAGGTGCTACTCGCTAACAGCACTTTCCCCAACGGTCTGTCAAGGCTATACGGGTTATCGTTGTCTTTGTGTGTGAAGTAGTAACAAATTAGCACGTTTTGGTCACGTGACAACCCTTACCAATTGGCTCTGTCGTTTGGTGGTGGATGAACAACACATTTACGCAATCTACCCCCCCCCCTCCCCACTAAAACTAACTTTCTTATTTAGCCTGAATGTTAAACCGCACAAGGCAGGGGTTTTTTGCAGTCCATCGGTGGCCAGTAGTAGCTGTCTTGCACTGCATCTTGCTGCAGTCACAGTGATTTTTGAAAGTAAATTCAGGGTAAAACTACTTCTTAGATACATTTGTGAATATGTATTCAGTGCTAGATCAGTGGGAGCGACTGGGAAATTTAGCAGTGGTGGTGTTTTGTGACGTGTGGGCTTATGTCTTTTGGCCACCGTGGCAGGACGCCACGGTGGCTAGGAGATGTTAACTACCTCGCCTGGTATACAGGAGGTCGTGACTTCGATCCCAACCCTGATGCCTTTACATTTGTAGTTTGCATGTTCTCACCGTAGTCGTGTTGATTTGCCGAAATTTGTAATGGCTACCTGCCGCCTTGGAGTGATTGAAGGACCTTAGCATTCAACTATGACATCATGTATACAAACTGTTGCTCCACCCCCACCTCCTTGCCATATGAAAGAATCATGATCCATGGGAAGATCGTAGGTATCCACTGCACGTTTCGTCATTTGGAAACAAATGACGAAATGTCTTGTCCCAATATGGTCACTATGGTCAAGTCATGCACGTCTTTCTGGCACACATCTCTAAGGTCATCATCAAGCCATTCTCTCTTAGGTCTTCCTCTCTTTATGGTTCATTCAATGTTTTCAAACACAGTTTTAATGTTCCCGTTGTCCATCCTACATTTGTGTCGAAATAGCGCCAGTTTCCTTTTCATTGATATCTGCATCATCAGGTCGTCTTCTATGTTCAACCTTTTTTTATATGTTGGTCACTCTTTGGGTTCAGTTTAGATGCGGTATCCTACCGTAGCAATACATTTCGAATGCCAATAGAATCAGAATTTTTATTTAAACTGGAGGAATCCGATCAGCAATGAAGCTCTTTTTCACAGGTGTCCAGGAGAGGCGGGTCAGCAAGTTACAGACTGCCAGCCTGAAACCTCAGAGCTGGTCTCCCAGAATCTTGCCGCAGTGGCGAGATGTTAACCACCTCGTCTGGTACACAGGAAGTATTGGGTTTGATCCCCACTTCGACGCCTGTATATTTCAAGTTTATATGTTCTCCCCGTGGTTGCGTGGATTTTTCTCCGGGTCCTCTGGGTTTTCCCTCCATATTTAGAAATATTCTTTTAGATTATTTGGCTGCGACTATAAATTTACACATGATGAAAAACCACTTCATTGATCTATCACTTTTGGCCAGTTCACTTTTGAAAAGGAGCTATATAGCTCAGTGGGCCTCACCTGGTAAAAAAAAGTTTAGTTTTATAGAATGTTTGTGAAGTTAATGTGCTGTGCGGCTATGCTGAAGCTGTGCGGATCTGTATCTGTAATGCAAGCCGTGACAACTTAACTGCACTTAAGGATCTGGGTGACCATGAGGCTGGCACGTTAATCTCTTTTATACGTGAATGAACTGGAAGATAAACTGGTGAGAAATGCACGCTTTATGACTACGTACGATTTCTGTACTTTGGTCGCTTTGCTTAACTATTGGCTCACGTGACAGTTGGACATGTGACAATGTACTGCACGCATGCGTTCGCACCCACACACACACAGTTGTTTGTTTACGTCGCAATAGCACGCATAAGGGCAGTGAGTACAGATTTTTATTTTAATCCGGAACAGAAAAAAGACGTTGCACAGAACATATCCACCCAAGTCGCGTCGGATCTATCCAGGACTTAACAACCTTTCACAAACTATCACACATACACCTGTCCTATCTCATCGGCCAAGTAATTCAATCGTGAAAACACTCGTAACATAACAGCATCCGTTATCTACAGTGCGATTGAGTTCCCGGCCAATGAAATTGAAATCGTGAGTGAACTCACCACGGGAGCTGTTAATGACACTTGGCGTTAGCAAACACACACATTTCGACCCACTACTATCAAACGTTTTTGGGGCCAAAGTCGACCAGACCTTTGACCCGCAACAATTTCGAATTCTTGGGGGAGAATTTTCAGGTATCCTCACTTTTCAACCGATTAAAACAAAACTCTGGAACTGACGAGAACTAAATAACGATAGGCATATACTCAGTGCGAGGAGAGGGGGGCACACATGGAGATCGGGGGAGGGGGATTTGGGAAGCCAGGGCTTACAGCTGAGTGTAACTGCTGCGCTAAGGTGACTCCGTGTTAAACGGTGGCGACATCGTGAATTAGGGCTAAGGTTTTTCCACCGTGATGGTATCGACTTGCCGTAAAATGACACCAGATATTGTTCGTGTATATATATCTATCTATGAACCAAACTCCCATCGGCGTTGCACCCACCGTTCCAATCTAGCTGAATTCTTGTTGGTTACTGTCGAACAGTCGATTCCTAAGTCCCATTATTATTAACATTTTCATATATTTTAGTTAACGTTAACAGCTTTAATCACAGAGTAATTTCAACCGCCCGTTTGATTCACTCCCCTTGATTGAAGAATCAGAATCTGTGCGTGCTCCCCTCGCCACCAGATTTAGATTTTTTTACGATTAATGCCATGGTTCGTTTTAAAATATATATTAAAATTTTGGCTATTCGTGGTATATTTCGTTTTTTCAGGTCGTGTTAATTCATCGTTGTTTGTGTTAATGCCGAGAAGTTCAGAAAAACGTTAAGGACAGACGCCGGCACACCCGCCTACTCATTTGCGTCGCGCACTCACTCTGACACACGCTCATATACTCACTCACGCACTCAAGGGCTTGATTTTCAGGAAGTTGGCTTGGGATTAGGGGAGTCAGGAACTTAATGAACGGCGAAAAGATACCATCGCGCCGATGACAAGAAGGTGTGTGAGAGTCAAGGACTTGAGTAGGATGGGTGGGTCAGTCGGTATGAATGGGCAGGTATGGGAGGGGAGTAGGTGGTGAACCTATGCCCCTTTGGTGGGTGGTGGTTGGCGACGGCTGTCCATAACATTGGTCAAGTCACTTCTTCACCGGAGTCTTGAGTCACTTCCGCAGGCACCACTTCTGGTTGAAGTGACTGCAGACAGGACACAGGGCTGGGCACGAATGAGCACGCATCACAGATCGTTAAGTTACACTTAGCAAACGTAGTCAGCCTTTCTGGGCCAGCATTATCAATCATCCATTTGTGAGTAAAGCCAACAAAAATATATGACCAAACCTGTGTCTCTAAGAACCCTTTAAGGACCCTCTACCACTGGAGCTATACACTTTTAAATCATCTAGATTGACAACTAATTTCTTTAGAACAGCTTTTGTGTTCAGTTCGTTGACCTTTCCCCGCACTTCCGATAATCGCGGTTGGCTACGTATGTTTCCAAAAAAGTTCAACATATACATAATACGTACCTCCTCCCCTCCTTCCACAACCCCGATCACTATCCTCTCACAATGTCTCACTGAAATCGACTCGGGTTTAGCACAGAGTTTGCTAATTCCTGCAGCGGGTAAACACTAAGTTGGCATTTCCTTTAAAAAACAACAAGTCCATCCCTGTGTTTGGGGGAATGGGTGGGGCCTAATGATGAAAGGTTGGGGCCTCCAGAGGGGCGGGGCTCGGGGAAAAAAAGTAACTCCGCATCAGAGGAGGAATGCGTCAACCACGAACTTCCCTGTTGATCTAAAAAAATGAAGGCATTTCGTCAAATATTTGCAGAAGACAGCACGAATTTAATGCTGCAGGCACAGGCACAGGCCAACTCGTGCCAAGTATAATGCAACGTGCCTAGTATAATAGTTACCTGGTGCGGCAAGGCAACGATCATCCAGCAATTCTCCTGTCACTGTACACGGACAGACAAACACACACACATGGCACATTTACACAACAACAATAACAGCCGCTGTCAAATCATCACCAAAGTGATAGTGATGTCACAATGGTGCTCTTGCCAGGCTAGGTGCACGTGGAGGCCATCGGGTGATGTGTGGAAAGCACTTGCTGCTAGCAGATCATGGTTACAAGCCGAGCTGTTATGCACTAACTGACTGAGATGATTTGCAGATGTGCTTCCCACTGTGTTAACTTCCCATATTTTATCCATCTGGTTGCTCTGCTCGTTGTTGTGAGCGTTGGCCCTCTGTTGTTGATGTTGTTGGGAGGGGATAATAACCTGCATGTGTTCTCTAATCCTCGTGTCACTCCACTCTGTCGAGAAATGTGAATCTCCACCCAGGATTGGTGGAGTCTTGAGACTTCCCAATGAAAGTCTCAAGACTTTCCCAATGAAAGTCACAATAATTTCATTGCGAAGGTTATACTCATTTCGGGATGTATTGGCAATTATTTTGTCAAGTCTAAGGATCTCTGGATATGTTCGTGGGGTTCTCTAAGTGTATGGATGTCTGGGTACGTGTATGGGTCTCGAAAAGTGTTATGGGTCTCTGCGTGAGTCTTTGGTGTCTTTGCGAGGTTCATTTACCGGTGACGACCTAGATGGCACCAACAAAAGGCGCCAAAGGGGCAGCTGCATACACAGCACACATCGCAGGCAAAGGTTAACGGAGATTCACGCGCGTGTTACAGTATAATATTGACCACAGCAGACTTTGTTGAGAGTAAATGACGCATCCAACAGAGTCAACCAGCACAGTCCTTAATACACGCACTAAACAACAATCCGTAGCTGAGCTGTATAAACGAAGGAATATTTTTGCGCCGGGAATTTGCCGGCGGGAAAGAGAAACCCTCACCGATTTTGCTGTTCACCACGTGAGGAGCCACCACACCAGCACCAATGCCTAGGGGGTAACCGAGTCCGCCGAGGGCTGCAAACAACACACACACAGGAGGGAGGGAGAGTTAAATGGTGGTTAAAAAATTAACCTCGCCCAGCACGTCCGAATTAGCATGGTTTGCAACGTAAGGTGTGATAGATGTTCCAACGTACACACACTCGCAGCGACTTTTGGCTGGCCATCGAAAAAAGACCGTCACCGCATCATCGCGTGGCCCTTTCAGATGCGCTTCTGCGGCCATCTGCAATGTTCTTCCGATATTAGGAAGGCACTGGAGCTGTAGAACGTTTACATCATCTAGATGGAAAACTAATTTCTTGCGAACTGCTTCTCGTGTTTAGTTGTCCTTCCTCCACACCTCCGATTAGCACAGTTGGCTAGGTACGATGCGAGGGAAGTTCAACATACATTCGTGTGTTGTGTTTTTACTTAAAACTTTCGTGACTGCAGGAATTCATGTTGAGAGTTAAAATCATGGTTGATGGCTAAAACAAGTATACTTAGTAGGGAAGATCAACAGTGGTTTGTCGTGTGGATCAACTCGCCCCTTGCCATAGGAGTGTGGAATTTCCAATGCTAATTTGACCACGACTCTTTTGGTATGAGGTTGAGAGTGTGGCATAAGGGGGGGGGGGGGGGTGGTATCTCTTACCTGCATGGTGCGTGTAGGCACCTCCAAGGACTGCTCCGTGATAGCCTAGACCACCATAGCCTAGACCACGATAGCCCAGACCTCCATAGCCCAGGCCTCCTGTAATAGCGAGAGGGAATAGAATGAAGAATGTGGGTTCAGGCTCTATCATGCGTTGCATATATGTATATAGAACAGGGTTATTCGTGAGACTGATGTGAGTGAGATGGGCCAACGACTTACCCACTATAAGTTGTCCACGGGTTAACGAAGAGACATCGGGAGATAGGGAGACACACAGTAAAAAAAGAAATTAAAATGCGTACACAAATTAGTTTTAAGTGCATATAAGAATGTGTGAGTGTTTGTGAGCATGTGTGAGTGGGTGCATGAAAATGTGAGTGAGTGTTAGGATGTGAGCGACTATGTACGCGTGAGAATATGAGTGTGCGTGTTGGCCTGTGGCCACATTTGAAGCATTAAGATTCTGCCGCCTGCTGAACTATGCTGTCTGCTGGCCTATGCTTTCATTTCTTTGAAGGGTTCCTCCTTTATATGGGTTGTTTGTGTGTTTTTAACATGTCGCCATTTTTTTGCAAGTTACAGATTTGTGTTTTTTTTTATTGGAGGTCACTTATTTGGGCTTTCTCATCATGCCCCGTCGCCCACTTGTCTATTTAGATTTTAGATCATGCAACACGATAATTAAAATCGCCTTAGAGCAATATAATATACGATATGACTCTGTCACTATGTTGAACATCTTTCGCACCCTTCATAGCCAACCGTGTTAATCGGAGGTTCGAGCCAGCATAACCGCACTAATTGGGCACTTCATTCATTCACATTTTTACAATGCACTGGCAACAGCACTGTTTAGACCGTTTCGCAATGTGATTCAGTGAGTGAGTGTAGTGGTGCTGAGTTGAGATGAACCTCACTCACCCACAGGGTGGCCCAGGAATCCCGTAGATAAAGTGCTCACTGTCTGCTTGCCAATGACAGCTGTGGCAAGGCATGAGACACGCACGCAACACAAATTTACACAGAGAAAAAAACAATCCCCTTCATAGCCTTCATAGCATGTTGGGGCAAGTCGTGTTAGAAGGCATAACGGCCAGCCGCCTTTGTCTACCCACTGGTGATGTTCATACACTGACCCATACACTTATTTTTAATGCTGAGTCAAAGAAAGGCCCAGGACAATTTTATATATTCGCCACCGTTATTCGTTGCGAGCGGGAATCGAACTCAAGTCACCGGTTTATTGCACAGTGCGCTAAACACTACACCACAATGCTCCCACAAAGATTCCCCCTATAGCCTTAACAAACTGATGGGGCAAGTGTCGTTCACGAGTTGCAATTATTTAGGCAATTAACGGCACACAAGCGGGTGGATGGCCAGCACCACAGATACAAAAATATAAAGACAGTCATAGACACGTGCACACGGACACACAAATAGATGCACAGACTTAATCTTTTTTTATTTTATCATATAAGACCGACTGAGCCATGTCGCTCTTTTTCAGAAGCGACCTGGTAACAAATTATAGCTGAACAAAGTGGCTGATGTGGAAATGTGGAGGGGAAAATTAGAGAACCTGGATAAAAATCCACGCCACCACACAGACTCGCAGAGACATCCATTGACACAAAGTCAGACGCAGAATCGCACTCGCAGAGATCCTCAGATAGACAAAGATGCACACACAGAGATTCTATCCAACTTACGTGACGCAGTGGCGAGGTGAAGGAGGGCCAGGACGACAAGAGCTTGCATAGCGGCGGCCATTTTGCTTTTAGGGTTTTCTGCTTTCGCTGTCGACGACAAGAGAGAAGGGCTTGAGTTGAGGCTGATGAAGCTTCACTTCGGAGTGACGAGCCTGGGGTTTGAGCCCCGGCTTTTAAAGGCAGCAACCAGGGGCTGGCTTGGATTTGTCCGAGCCAGGACAAGGCCTAGCCTCAATAGCTCCAGTGTAGCGCTGGCAATCGCCAAAAGCAACCACCCTGTCTATTTCCTGTCAAAATATTGGAGTCATTGAAGCATCTCTAAATATTTTTGGGTTTTTTTAAACTTGAGTTTCAGTACATTTCCACACGACACCGCTAAATGTCGCATTTGCCTCGATATTAAACTAAAACTAAACAAACAAATTACCAGGTAAGGTCCACTGCTAATATTGATATTTTTCAGAAGCAACCTGGCCATCACAAATGAAAGCACAACGAAGTGGCTGATGTCATTTTGTGGAAATGTATAGTAGGTAAATACTATAAATGTCGTGATGTTGATGCTAAATGTGGAGGACAAACAAGTAAACCCGTAAAAACTAAGTTTTTCACTATAAATCCTTTATATGCGTGGCGGCGAACTTAATATAAAGGATTTAAAAATATATTCGCCTGTGGAGGACGCGGGGATCGATCCCGCGACCTTTGGCATGGGAAGCGAGGGCGCTACCAACTGCGCTACTCCGCCACGGCCTGTGGATGGGTTACGCTCTGGGTTCTTACACTCTGACGTTCAGCCAAAGCCATGAATGCGTTCTATTTGAATATATGTAAAATAAATTTTTTTTTGCCTAAAAAGTGTAACATTTTGGGAATTTTTTTTCACGAACAATAATTGTCTGGCACAACGAGTCTGTGTGGAAAATGTCAGCTCGGTCCTAAGCAAGCAAGCAAGCACGCGAACTTAATATAAAGGATTTAAAAACAGAAGACCCGGAGAAAAAAATCCATGTGACCATGGTGGAGAATATGCAAACTTTAGATGAATTCTGACATACACACGGACACATAGAGCATGCATAGACATATATACATGCAAATATATATTCGCATAAGCTTTGAACATTAATAAAAACAAACCCCCCCCCCCGTATAGCCTTAACATACTGTTGGGGCAAGTGCTGTTAGCGAGCACTTTTCTCGGCCCGCACCGTACACGAGGGAGTTTGTGGCCAACACTCCCGACCGCCTGTGTCTCTCCAGTGGCAACGTTTTTTATAGTGCACCTCAATATTTAAAACGTACACATGGTCACACCAACGCATATATACAGTACTGTCATATATTCCCAAATGTGCACACCTAAAGTATGTTCACACAGCAAAGACACGCAGTTCTGTTTTCGCTGAATCCACAACATTTACAACACCAGTGAGTGCTGAAGTAGAAACTTAATGTTTCGTTTTGGTGACAACCCCGTTTACTTATTGTGTCGGCTGGTGGAGGGTTAACGACATTTATATTCATGGGATTTAACCCGCAAAACATACTTTATTATTTGACCTGAATGTTAAACCGAACAAAGCTGGGGTTTTTGTTTCAGTCCATCGGTGCCCAGTAGTATTCGTCTTGTCCTGCATCTTGCTGCCGTTGCGTTCTCGGTGTGTAATTTGCAAGCTCGGGCGCGTGCTCCATCGCGTGACGAAAAACAGCGACTCGGGGATTGGCTCCTGAGCTACACGTGCACGTGTACAGGCCACGCCCAGGCACCACGCGCGGATTCGTGTTCAGAGGTTTGACTTCCCCGAACAGTCCAAAGTTAAATCATTGATATTCATGTTTATGTCGCCAAATCATAATTATTCGATAAAAAAATCAATGCTGATTGTTTATTTAATTGAGTAATGATAATGGATATTCTTTTCGGCATTAATAGTCGGCTTTTACCCTTTCTGGCAATAATGCAAGGGAGGCATTCCGATATTAAAAACCAAATGGATACATTTTGCAGGGCATAAAGGATAATGAATATATGTAAATTAAACTGTGATGTAAAAGTCGATTCTGATAATTTTAGTGTGCAGCTTGTGCAATTTCAGCTAGCGGGGTCTCGACTATGAAGGGTGCAAAATTATTTGAACACTAGATCTTGACTTAAAGCTTTCGTCACTGCAGGAATTCATATTCTAGGGTTTTCTGTAAAGTCACCTATCTACGTGACTTTACCCAAAGACCCAAGAATATAATTTGAACACTGTACTGTACTTCCACAAAGCACCCCTTTGCTCTATTCGGTCTATGGGAGGATTGAGCAGCGGGATGTTGCGTGGCGTTTGGGCTGATGTGGTGACTCTTGGCAACT